ACTGTGACCGCGCAGAGCGATTACAACTGGAGCTTCATAAGAGAGCAGCAAATAGTAAATTACTTGTGGGATTATGTTCTAGGCCTCCCCGTCATAAAGGATGTCTCAGTTCCTTTGATAAATTGAAATGACTGGGCAGCAGGGTGATGTTGTTATTATGGGCATTTTTAATTATTGGTATTTATTAGGCAAATGGAACTGCACAGCTAAAGACTTGCCATTGCTTAAACATATTGCAAGACAATTTCATGGAACAGATGGTAGTGGCCACAATGAGGAAAAATGCTCTGTTGGATCTATTAATTTCAAACATGGAACTTATTACAGATGTGCAAGTTAAAGACAGCCTGGGTAATAGTGGTCGTGGTGCAGTCAAATTTGTCACAATCATTTTGATATGACAAGAACTCTAAATTTCAAAAAAGTTAAAGTGGTAGTAAACTGGCAAAGTATTTATAAATTACCCCCTGCCTGTCAGGTAATGCGATCTGAGCTGCGCATGCAGCTCAGACTGCATATACCATGACTCCCATGCACAGAAGTGACATCACCCCAGCCCAGCCATTCAAGCAGCCGAAGATTTGGAACCCAGAAGGAAGACCGAGTTAACTTGGAAGTGCTGTGGACCAGAGACAAACGTGACAGCCCAGCCGCTGGATGACTCCATCTGTAGGTAAGCCTCTCATAATGTACTAGTTTAATGTCATACTAGCACATTAAAACAGACTTCACTCATGCACAAGAGCTCTGAATTCAGAGTGAAGTGCGCAAGCGCCGGCTGCTACAAATTTGAACATCTAAACGTGCACATTTAGGAGATATTCACTGTACCTACAGGTAAGCCTTATTATGTTCTTATCTGTAGGTACAAGTGAAAAAGACTTTACTACTACTTTAACCCACTTGCCTACCAGGCACTTATACCCCCTTCCTTACCAGGCCAATTTTCAGCTTTCAGCGCTGCCGCATTTTGATTGACAATTGCGCGGTCATGCAAGATTGTACCCATATGAAATTTTTGATCATTTTTTTTCTCACAAATAGAGCTTTCTTTTGGTGGTATTTAATTGCCACTGGGCGCTTTACTTTTTGCGCTATAATAAAAAAAAATGCAAAAAATTTGAAAAAAAAAAATTTTTTTCTTTGTTTCTATTATAAAATTTTTCAAACAGGTATTTTTTCTCCTTCACTGATGTGCGTTGATGAGGCAGCACTGATGGGCACTGATAGGTGGCACTGATGGGCACTGATAGGCAGCACTAAAGGGCACTGATAGCAGTACTAATGAGGTGGCGCGGATAGGCGGCACTAATATGCAGCACTGATAGGCGGCACTGATAGGTGACACTGATGATGGGTACTGATAGACGGCACTGACTGATCACTGCTGGGCACTGACTGGCACAACCCTGGGCACTGACTGGTGGCACTGACTGGCAGCACTGGTGGGTGGCACTGGTGGGCAGCACTGGTGGGTGGCACTGGTGGGCAGCACTGGTGGGTGGCACTGGTGGGCACAGGTGGGTGGCACTTCTGGGCACAGGTAGGTGGCACTTCTGGGCACAGGTGTGTGACACTGCAGGTGTGGCACAGGTGGGTGCACTGCTGGGCACAGGTGGGTGATCTGCTGGGCACAGGTGGGCGGAGCTAGTGGGCGCACTGCTGGGCACAGGTGGGCGGAACCTGCGGGTGGCACTGCTGGACACCGATCATCAGGGCACTGATTATCAGTGTCCTGATGATCGGTGCCGATCCCCGCTGTGACAACTGCCGGTTCTCGGCAGTACTTTCCTCACGATCTGACAGCGTGAGGAAAGTGCAGCCGAGAACCGGCACTTGCATTTCCCTGTGACCAGCGTGTCATTGGACACCGCTGATCACGTGGTAAAAGGCCGCTGGGATCGGCCTTTTACCACATCACGTGATCAGCTGTGTCAGTAGGACACAGCGATCACGGAGATCGCCGGGTGCGTGCCCCCTGGGGCCCTGGAGAGCGCGTTCTGGGGGGACGTCATACGACGTCCACCCAGAACTGGCCGGCCGCAGTGAAGCCGTCATTCGGCTATCTGCGGTCGGCAACTAGTTAACAATGAACCCTAGGCAATCTAAGATTTAACCTCTATACCATTAAACCTATTAAACTCTCCCAGGAAGCGGTACTAGCTAAAAGTGTTAACAACTTCAATAAAACGTTACACAGTGCATCCAGAAAGTATTCACAGCGCTTAACTTTTGCCACATTTTGTCATGTTACAGCCTTATTCCAAAATGGATTAAATTCATTTTTTTTTCTGTCTGGCCACTCTGCCATACAGGCCTGATTTGTGGAGTGCTTCAGAGATGGTTGTGCTTCTGGAACGGTTCTCCTCTCTCCACAGTGAAATGCTGGAGCTCTTTCAGAAGGACCATCAGGTGCTTGGTTACCTCCCAGACTAAGGCCCTTCTCCCTCGATCCACTCATTTTGGCTGGGTGGACCGCTCTAGGAGATTCCTGGTGGTTCCAAACTTCTTCCATTTATGGATGATGGAGCCCACTGTGCTCATTTGGACCTTCAATACTGCAGAAATATTTCTGTACCCTTCCCCAGATCTGTGCCTTGATAAATCCTGTCTCGGAGGTCTATGGACAATTCATTCTTCATGGCTTGGTTTGTGCTCCGACATGCACTGTTTACTGTGGGACCTTATACAGACAAGTTTATGCCTTTCCTAATCGTGTCCAATCAACTGAATTTCCCACAGGTGGACTCCAATCAAGATGTGGAAACATCTCAAGGATGATCAGTGGGAACAGGATGCACCAGAGCTCAATTTTTAGTGTCATGGCAAAGGCCTTGAATACTTATGTACATGTGGTTTTTTTCGTGTTTTATTTTTAATTAATTGCAAAGATTTCAAAACAAACTTCTTTCACATTGTCATTATGGGGTATTGTTTGTAGAATGTTGAGGAAAAAAAACAATTTAATCCATTTTGGAATAAGGCTGTAACATACCAAAATGTGGAAAACGTTAAGTACTGTAAATACTTTCTGGATGCGCTGTATATTGCCGTTTACCAATCATTAGATGGGGTGGGTGCTTGTGTTTCCCTTTTTTTGCTTTTTGTGGGCAGTAACAGGCCTCCTGTATTCGTGTTCCCCCACTCTGGATGAAGGAGCACAGGGGGCACCTTTGCACAGCAGCACTGTCAGATTAAGGCATGGCTTCAAAACCAGGGTTCCATGAAGCCCCAGGGTTCCTCCAGAGATTGCTATGGGTTTCTTGAGCAATGAGCAGTTTCTGCCTCTCAGATAAGTTCCCACTGACACCATTGATCTTTTTGGCTATCTATAAGGGAGTAATTCTTCCCAATGACCACAAGTGTAAGGAACATTCTTCCCACTGACCATCACACGAATATATCATAAATTGTACAGAGAGTCATTTTTAGCAGGGGTTCCCTGAGACCAGAGAGTTATTTCAAGGGTTCCTCTGTTTTAAATGGTTGAGAAAGGCTGGTCTAAGGGAAGGAGAGTGTTAATACTAGCAGATTTAGATACTTTAACAGTTGAAGCCAAACGCCAGCTCTCACACTGCAGTTACACAAGCAGTTACAGCAACAGTTTTTTTTTTCGTTTGGGATAAAGGTTTTATATGAATACAGAAAAGCTGATCAATGTAAGCTCCTCTGTCAAATGGTTTGTCTAACTGCTATATTTTGCAGAAGAGCTTGAAAAACAACAGAATTACTGGCTGACCAAATAAAAATAAAGGAAATAAGGCATAAAAAAGAAAACAAATGTAGCAATCACATCTAAGAATTGGTAAGCTGCAATAAATGTTTTCTTTTGGGTTTAATACTGCTTTATTACTCATATGGATAAGATTACTAATACTGAGATGATGATGATTAGATGATATTCTAAAAAACACCCTTAAAGCGGAGTTCCACCCACCCAAAAGGGGAAGTTCCGCTTTAAGGACTGCTCCCCCGCTCCCCATTCAGGCTTGGCACCTTTGGGGGGCGGGGGGGGAGCGGGTACCCGAATTTGACAGGCACCGGCTCCCAATTGCGGTTGGACCGCCTTGGCGATCGGAAACGGAAGGTGTCCTCCCTCCTTCCCTCCCTGTAGTTTTTCTGTGACAAGTGACAGGTCCCAGAAGACTACAGGACCATTCATGAAGTGCAGTGTTACTCGCACATGTGCAGTGGGTACCCGGCTGTGAAGCCGCAAGCTGTCACAGCCAGGTGCCCACACTGAAGATGCCGACCTCCAGGAATACAGGACAGCCGGTGCAATGGGCTGCGGGGGACACACCACGGGATCGAGGGACAGGTAAGTGGCTGTTTTTTTTAAAAGTCAGCAGATACAGTTTTTGTAGATGCTGACTTTTATTTTTTGACAGGATGAGTGGAACTCCGCTTTAAAAGACTTTATTTCCTTAGTAATAACATCTTTGTAGTGTTTAGCTGCAATTAGCTGTTGAAGTGGAGTTCCACTCAAAAGTGGAAGCTCCTCTTATTTGCCCCCCCCCCCTCTCCACTGCCATATTTGACACCTTTTGGAGGGGGAGGGGGAGTGGATACCTGTTATGACAGGTACCCACTCCCTCTTTCGGCTCAGGTCACCGCAGCAAAGTGACAAAGTGGAAAGTTCGGCCCCCTCCTCCCTCCCCGCAGTCTCCTGGCAACTTTCAAGTCCCAGAAGACTACTGGACCAATTAGCGCAGCGCGACTCGTGCATGCGCACCTGGGCACCTGGCTGTGAAGCTGCAAGTTGTCACAGCCTGCTGCCCACAGTAGAGATGCCAGTGCCATGGAGGAGAGGGGAGAAGGAATGCTGTGGGTGAGCACATCGCTGTACCCTAGCACAGGCAAGTGTGTGTGTTAAAAGTCAGCAGTTACAGTTTTTGTAGCTGCTGACTTTTAATAAACACAAAAACTGCTGGAACTCCACTTTAAGTAAACTAATAGTGGAGCTGGGATATTTACCGTATTTTTGGCTCCATAAAACACACTTTTTTCCCCCCCCAAAAAGGGGGGAAAATGTCAGTGCGTCTTATGGAGTGAATATAAAGCGGCTGGTCCGGTATTTCCGCCGCCACCATGTCAGAATACCGGGCCGGCCACCCAGCTGTTCTCTGTGGCAGGAACTCACCTGTTCCTTGGTCCAGCGCTGTAGTCTTCCCGCGCTGGCTTCTTCTTGCCCCGGCATCTGTGACAGCCGGGTGCCCACTGCGCATGCGCAAGAAGCTCTGCACTTTGTGAATGGTCCGGTGTCTTCTGGGACACATGACAGGTCCCAAAAGACGCCGGGCCATTCACAAAGCGCGGCGCTTCTCGTGCATGCGCAGTGGGCACCCAGCTGTCAGTCGGGTGCCCACAGTATGGGAAGGAGAACTCCGGAAGTGGGAGCAGGTACCTGTCAAATTCAGGTACCCGCTTCCCCTCCCTCCCTAAAGGTCTGCAGTCTCTGGTCATCCCCTGTACTGTCCGCAGTCTCTGGTCATCCCCTGTACTGTCCGCAGTCTCTGGTCATCTCCAGTACTGTGCGCAGTCTCTGGTCATCTCCAGTACTGTGTCCACAGTCTCTGTCATCCCCTGTACTGTCCGCAGTCTCTGGTCATCCCCTGTACTGTGTCCGCAGTCTCTGGTCATCTCCTGTACTGTGTCCGCAGTCTCTGGTCACCTCCTGTACTATGTCCGCAGTCTCTGGTCATCCCCTGTACTGTGTCCGCAGTCTCTGGTCATCCCCTGTACTGTGTCCGCAGTCTCTGGTCATCTCCTGTACTGTGTCCGCAGTCTCTGGTCATCTCCTGTACTGTGTCCGCAGTCTCCGGTCACCTCCTGTACTGTGTCCGCAGTCTCTGGTCTGTGTCCGCAGTCTCTGGTCACCTCCTGTGCTGTGTCCGCAGTCTCCGGTCATCTCCTGTGCTGTGTCCGCAGTCTCCGGTCATCTCCCTGTGCTGTGTCCGCAGTCTCTGGTCCATCTCCTGTGCTGTGTCCGCAGTCTCTGGTCCTCTCCTGTGCTGTGTCCGCAGTCTCCGGTCATCCCTGTGCTGTGTCCGCAGTCTCTGGTCATCCCCTGTACTGTGTTCGCAGTCTCCCGGTCATCTCCTGCTGTGTCTTCAGTCTCTGGTCATCCCCTGTACTGTGTCTGCAGTCTCTGGTACATCATCTCCTGTAGTATGTCCGCAGTCTCTGGTCCATCTCCTGTACTGTGTCCGCAGTCTCTTGTCCTGTCCTGAACTGTGTCCGCAGTCTTTGGTCATCTCATGTACTGTCTGCAGTCTCTGGTCATCTCCTGTGTGTCTGTCTGTCACTTCCTGTACTATGTCTGCAGTCTCTGGTCATCTCCTGTACTGTGTCCGCAGTCTCTGGTCACTTCCTGTACTATGTCTGCAGTCCATTGGTTCAGAATATTTTTTTTCTTGTTTTTCTCCTCTAAAACCTAGGCGCGTCTTATGGTCAGGTGCATCTTATGGAGCAAAAAATACGGTAAGTTCCATGTGACAATTAACCTTGTTTCAGAGGGTCCTATTGTTCCCACAGTGCATGGCGGTGGGGATGAGAGTTGCTTGTGGTCACAGATGTAGAGTAACTAAAAATCTACTTTGCTGTTTACACTTAAATGAGACCAAAGCGTCATAAACTTATTTCACAGCTGTGATGTACAGTGGATATATAAAATAATCACCCCCCTTTGAAATAATCACATCTTGTTGCTTTGCAGCCTAAAATAAAGACAGACACAGTTTTTGTTTTATCCAGCTGTATTTACTCAGTGCAACTTATAACATCCAAGTGAAAGATTTAACACCAACATGTCAGGAAAAAATTTAAAAAAAATCAAAAACCAGAATCAATGAGTTGGAAAAGGATCACCCCCTCCTAAAAATGACTTAAAACCTAATCAAGTGTAGCTACTCACCTTCTCAATGGCACACAAAGCCATTTGAATTTCAACTGTGATCAGCTGTGGTTATTTTGATTAGCTCAGCATGAAAAGAGCTTTCCTGGAGCATTTCAGTCATTGGCAGTGCAACTGAAGCAAACAATCAACTATGGGTGGCAAGGCACTGTCAAAAGATCTCTGGGATAAAGTTGTGGACAGGCACAAGTCAGGAGATGGATACAAAACAAATTTCAAAGGCTTTATCAATGCCTAGAAGCACAGTGAAGTCTATTATTAAGAAGTGGAATGTATTTGGTACAACAGAGACCCTCCCTTGATCAGGAGGTTACTCCAAACTGGAAGAAAGATCAGTTTCCAGGAGGAAACTGATCAGAGATTCTCTACCAAGAAGCCTATAACAACTCTGAAGCAGTTGCAGGAATGTATGACAGAGTGGTCATTGTATGCATGTGACAACAATATCACAACTTCTCCACAAGTGTGGCTTGTATGGGAGGGTTGCAAGAAAAAAAACACTCCTCAAGAAAGGCCACATGCAGTCACAACTGAGCTTTGCCAAAATGCATCTTGAAGATTTTTATGCCAAATGGAAAATGGTGTTATGGTCAGATGAGACTAAAATGGAATTATTTGGCCTCAACACTAAACAATATGTCTGGTAGAAATCCAATACAGCACACCATCCAAATACCACCATTCCTACAGCAAAGCATGGAAGTGATAATGTCCTGTTATGGGGGTGTTTCTCTGCAGCAGGGATGGGAGCACTTGTCAAGATAGATGGAAAAATGGAAAGGGCAAAATACCATCAAATTCTTGAGGAAAATCTGCTGCCCTCGGCCAGAAAGATGTCAATGGGAAGAAGGTTTACCTACCAACATAACAATGACCCAAAGCACACAGCAAAAATGAGCACACAGTGGTTGAAGGAGAAAAAGGTAAATGTCCTTGCATGGCCTAGTCATGACCCAGACTTAAACCCCAAAGAAAATCTGTGGAATGACTTGAAGACTGCAGTCCACAAATGGTCACCATCAAATTTAACTGAACTTGAGTAGTTCTGCAAAGAAGAGTGGGCAAATATTGCAAAGTCTAGATGAGCAAAGTTAGTAGAGACATATCCCAACAGACTAAAGGCTGGAAATAAAGCAAAAGGTGCTTCATCAAAACACCGACACAATGGGGTGATCCTTTTTCTAACTCAGTGATTCTGTTTTTGATTTTTTTTTTTTTTTATGTTGTTGGTGTTATGTCTTTCAATTGGATATCATAAGTAAATACAGCTGGATAAAACAAAATGTTTGTCTGTCTTCATTTCAGGCTGCAAAGCAACAAAATGTGATTATTTTAAAGGGGGGCAATGAATTTTCTTAACCACTGTATGGTGGATTTTATTTTACTGTTCTCATATATGATCTGCTTGTGTTGTGTCAGCCTTTCACAGCTAGAGGGCTCTGGTTGGCTACAGATTTAAAAAAAAATAGTTTTTTTTATTTGTATTTTTTTTTTTTTTTTTACTATGAAGCAATCACTATTTTATACTTTTGCAAAAATGAGCAAAACAGTTCTAAAACTATATGATTAAAGAGGTAGGGATCCCCGATAATCCCATTCAGATTTAGAACACATTTGTGGAAAAGGGTGAACCCCACATAGGAGAGAAGGAAAATCCTTTTATGAATGGACATCGTTCATAGTTCCAGGGAAATATCAATTTAGCAATATTAACTACTACATAAATTACCCATAGTAGTATCCTAAAATTAGAAAGCTGATTTTATGTTTACTTTAGTCATCAGACTTTTAAATTCTCTCCCAGAAATGGACAGCTACACATATACCAAAGAAAATTCAAACTATGAGCACCCCTCCAAATGAATGAGTTTCCAGTACAGGGTAATGTTAAAGTGATTATAAAACCGCCACTTTTTAAAATAGAAATGAAGGGAAAATGTGTGTATACATATAAGAAACATTATAAATATCTTTTTTCTCTTTTTTTTTTATAAGCGATCATATAATCTCTGTTTGAGCTGCATAAGGAACTCAGGGAAGAGAAATAGCAGAACAATGGTCTTCCCAGTGAAAGGCTGTGGGGAGGGGAAGGGCACCTCAGGACAAATCAGATCAATGGAGGAGAGCAGGTTGAGTTTGCAGCATAGCTAGCTAATTGACCACGCTGTGTTCTGCTGTTTAGCCTACTTTCACCCTGCTCCTTGCAAAAACAAAGTAAAAATGCATATGCATTTTTGCTGCATTTTTTCTTCATTTGCTGTGTTTTACCACTTTTTTTTTGGCGCTTTTTACCACGTTTTGCACCTGTGAAAAAAGCACCCGCAGTGTGTGTTTCATGCTTTTTTTGATGCGTTTTTCATTAATTTCAATGTGGAAGTGTGGTTTTTGGGTGCACTATTTTTTACTGCACCAGACATGTACAAAAAATGCAGCAAGCAAGACTTTGAACAGCGCAACAGACCCAAAACTGATGAGTGTAAAGAGTTTCATAGGATTTAATGGTCATGCATTTTTCGTCCATCTTTTTTTTAAGCAAAAACAAGAGAAAAACGGATCAGTGTGAAAACAGCCTTAGTGTGGTCAGTTTTTAATAGGAAAGCAGAGGGACTGGCAGGAACACAAAGGAAGCCATACAAAGAAAAGAATACTTTTTCATACAAGTACATGGTACAGCAGGCACATATCACAAATGTGAAATGCTGGGGTTACGTATTCTTTAAAGCAATGTCAAACTAAGACATTGTAGACATTTGTGCACTCAACAATGAGGCAACAGTTTTGGAAAGTCCCTTATTTCATTCTAGCATGACAGTGCTAGAATGACATGGACAAAAAGCAAGGTCCATAAAGATGTGGTTTAAAGCTGAACTCCCAGATTTACTTTCATCCTAAATAGCTTGTTTGAGCCATGCTGGGCCTAAGGCTGCCATACATTATACAATTTTCTTTAGATTTTTGGTTTAGATTTACCAAAAACCATATAAGAGGAGGTCAAACCTAATAACACTTTCAATTGTATCCAGTTAGGCAGGCCCTTGCACTACATAGTAGAAGATAAATCTAAAGGAAATTGGGCAGAAACTTGTATAGTGTATGGCCAGCCAAAGGAACTATTTTCTTTACTAATGTGGTTGCTCTCAGCGCTGTCTAAACAGTATGTAGCATCAGTTTCATACAGTATAAAGCATTGCGTTCCGGTAACGGTGCAGGAAATGCCTGTCTGCTGCCAGATTAAAATCGAACTAGGCTGAGCGCTTTTCAGTCATTCACAGGAAGCCTTGTACTTATATTTTTAGCAGTGATTACAAGGCTTCTTCTGAATGGCTGAGGTGGAGATTGTGACTTCCTCCATCTGCCTCTCCACCTAGGCCAATCAGAAGAAGCCTTGTGTTCATTGATAAAAATACAAGACTTCCTGACTGAATGGCTGACTAGCACTCATCTATACTTGATTTTTTTCCAGCAACAGATGAATTCCCGATACAGTTGCCGGAACACGTCGCTGTATACTGTATGAAGTTGATGCTACACATAGTTTTTACAGTGCAGCCAGTAGCAGCATCATTTAGTAAGAAGCTGATCACACGTGTACGACTTGTCATGCAACTTTGGGATCCAAAGTCACATGACAAGTTGCACTCCACATTTACCAATGAGTACCATATATATCTGTGTAACTTCAAGTCGCAGCGACTTGAAAGTAGTTCTTGCACTACTTTGGTCTGACTTTCAGGCAATTTGAGGGTCATAGATTTATGTAAACCCTCCAAAGTCACATGAAAGTCGCACCTGAATGATATACATGCGAATTTGTACAGCACAATTATTGTTGGTCAAAGCCAAAGCCATACTCATCCAAAGTCGCATCAAGTCACAATGTAAAGTCGCAATGAATTTGCAAGTGTGAATGGAGCCTAAACAACACAGTTTGGGCCAGCTTGGCCCAA